TGAAACTTTTTCTCATAGAAAAGCTGCAGAATATTTATTCATTTAACATAGCTATTCTTTATTTCTATGACCAAAAAGTAGTATCAAACTATCAGATATAATAATATGTCTGTCTTTGCTATCTTTGTATTTAGAAATTATTCTATTTTGAGGTTTACTTTCTTGCGTTCATTTTTGGTGTCTCAAAAGCRTCTCAGACTTCCAGGAGCTTTTTTGTATTTTTAAGTATTTCTTGTATTGTCAGCCTTTTAGGCCATTTCRGAAGTCATTTTGAAAATTTTAAACTAAAATTTCAATATACTGCTTCTATAAATAGAAGTCCTTTCTCCACATATATGAAAGGACATCACCGCAAAATTCATCCYAAACTGTCCTTAACGTCTTTGGATCCACCAAAGATCTCACAAACTCGTGATATTTGGAGATATTTGGTATTTTCCACACACCGTATTCCATGGTATGTGGAAAGACTGAAATGTTAAGTAATCAGACTCACAGAAGTTCACATCCCAAGTCTGACCATGGACCACCAGAGAGAGTYAACGAAGCTCAAAAGGGAGGGGTGTCTGTGTGTGGTAAAAAATTCCTTCTCACCACGTCAGTGCCCAAATGCACAGTGGGTACATGGGTTGGCAGAATTTTAGGTATCTAAATMACTCCAGCAGTAAAAACTTTGGTAWCTGCATCCCTTGAGATACCAAAGTAGATTAAGCAAAATTTTGTAGATCATAGTTTTTTTATCTTGGCCAGGTAAACATGAAGTGTAGTACTCTTTGGATTTGATGTTTTAGATGTTTTTTTAACAGGGTTGGCCATTTGCCTTGCTTTGATTTCTCAGCATGTGAGCTAAGGAGAAGCTTCAAAGGGTTTGAAGTTTACTCCCCGAGATATATCCAGTCCTTTCAACGTGCATTGGAATGGATTGAATTAATATTTGAAGGTTAGAGTACGTATGAGTCCTAAATATAGCGCTTGGCAATATGTGGGAATGAGGCAGAAGGAAAATCACCAGCTCCCTGTCCATTTATTCAGTCTAAGGAATGTTTGAAGCAGACAAACATTAATTATTCAAACTGGTGTCTTTCTTTGACAAATATTCTGTTTTGGTCTTGGTTGGCTTCGGGGCACTTCACGTTGTAGCAATTCAAGCTGACTCTTCTCTCTGTCCTCACTGACCAGAGAGCTGAGTAGAGCCAACATTGGCAAACAGACTCTTGGTAAAGTGTGTAAATTTGCCTGTGACAGCAGTGCCAGAGCCCTGAAAGTTGGTCTTGCTCTCCCTGTAGCTGGACAACTGCTCACAGCAGCAATCTCCTCTGCCACATCCAGTGCCACTAACTCCACCTCTCCAGGGACWGTGAGTGCTCTCTGTGTCTTTGGGACAGCCAAATTCAGGTGTACCTACACTGTCAGGAGCCCTGGGCCAGTTCCAAAGGGGTGTCTAAACAAGCTCTTCACCCCATTTTCTATGTTTCTTGCAGCAGCAATCCCAGAGCCACAGGCCAACACAAACCATGGTATCATCAGTTGTGACCCCAGRGACAATACAGGTTACATTTTGCTCTCCCATTTGCCCTTTTAGCCTTATGTGTAGCTTTATCAGTTTCTTACRCTACCAGAGTTGTTAAATCATTATTAATCAGGCAACTGGTAGGATCTTTGCAGATGGATTGTAATAAGGCAWTTTTTTGAAGGTTTGCTTATGAAATATTCCAGTAGAAACTTTTTTTTGTTCTCCCTTTTTTTCAAAGAGCATGAAATTAGTGAATCAGCTTTAATTGTATTTTTTCTCAGTATGTCACAACTTCTGTATCCTTTTAATTGTGTAGGAGCCTTGAAAGAGTGCTATTTAGATGCAGGGCTGAATTTGAAGGAAGCATGAAGTGTTTCTCTGAACTTTAGCACTGTTCTTATTCCCATCTAACAAGTGAGAAGCTATTAGGAAACAACTYCCCTGGAATGACCCATTGTACAAAGAAGTGTTAAGAAAAAAGGAATCTTTCCCAGTAGGCAGAGCTACCTCATCCCTGTTTCTTTTTCTGTTCACATTTCAAATGCATCTGTCACTGTAGTATCTAGGAATMAATAGGAGAGCTAGGAGGACTGAGATTAAAGAAGTTCATCTGAGTGGAGTTAAATACTCATTGATGGTTGTRCAATTTTTGGTCCAGGCATTTGCCAGGGGGAAGGGACATTTCAGTCTTTTTTACACAAAAATATGAAGAAGGGGTGGTAGGAAAATACAGTCCTATAAATCTGGGGGGGTTCAAATTATCCATATATTTAAATCCAAAGGAAAAAAAATCTCAAGAAACAAAGTCACAGAATGTCATTAGTAGTTCAGTAATTTTTGATACTAAGCAGAGAGGAGGACCTTGAGCTCCCATGACACACTTATTAGAAAATTTGTAATATGTCTTGTGGTTTCAAGAGACCTGCCAGAAAGAGAGAGATTCTTGAATTCAAAGTTTACAATCAGTTAAAACTGGTTAAATTTCAAGTGTGCTCAAAAGTCAGAACACAGGCGATAATAATGATCATCTGACCRAGCTGTAGTCATTTGAGTATCTGATGTTCAAGTTGCAAATAGCTGGATCCTGTGCTAGAGAGAGTCAGATTTTCAGTCCTCTCTTCTCACTCTCCAGATTGGTGTCTAAATCTGGGATTTACTCCCACACCTTACATGCAGAGTCAGCCTGGGATGGGGATGCTTATTAAAGGGAAAGTTGCTCTGCTGTAGATCATTCATACCTTTGGCATTGCCCAGATGTAAAACATTAAAAAGCTGAATTACACTGTGTGTTTACTGTCTTCTTCARTGTATCCACCATAAACGAAAGAGAGCTAGTAACAACCCTTACAATTTTAATATTCTCTCTATTTGTGTAGGACTGATACYGTATGAGGAAGAGAAATGCAAGATTTGGTCCTTAAGATCACCTTTCCTATTTGCCAAGAAGAAATGTTAGATTTGTTTCTATTAAATATAAGCTTTGCTCAGAAGATGATTATTTACTAAATAAATTCTAAAGCAGGRGATTAGAACAAATATGTCTCACATAGAGCAAACTTAAATCCTACACYGGGATAAACACTTCAAAACTAAACYCCACTTASAAAAACAATACGGGTTTRTAGGASCYTWRKTYCMMYKGGRAWTTKKKGTTTTWAA